AAAAAAAAAAAAAAAAAAAAAAAAAAAAAAAAAAAATGGCGAGAAATTTTTGGTGAGGGAAGAGTACAATGAAAAATTATGTTCAGCAAGAAACTGAACGCGATGGAATGTAAAAACCAGGACTTCCGACGAATAACAGTTCTGAAAATGAAAATTCCAATAGAAAAACGGCATTCAGCCTTAAGAATATCTAAAATGCACATAATCTGTAATCAAAACCACATTCAGCCAAAAAAGAAACCTAATCACAAATGAAACAAAAATACATACCAAGATTCCCGAGCTTGTTAAGCAGAAAGCAGAAACCGAATTTTTGCAGTAACGCTTCTAAACTTCCGTGCTTTCCAATCACTCACGATGTCTTGCACTAAATTTGTTCATCACAATTAAACATTGCCAAACGTCACTTAAACATACCTATACTTGACAAGGGATTAAATAAGATGAAAAAATTCATCTGTTTTTGCTAAATGACCAGCTTAATTTCACCAATCACAGCATAAAAACGATGCATCTTGTGAAAAGTTGTAGGCTACATAGTACAAAAAATTTACGCTCTAGCTCAGCTAATTTCGAAAGTTTATTTTCGCAGCATTTGAAAAAATTCTGATTAAAATATATTCACTGATGTTTACCCTAGGTTATGACAATAAAAATTTGATCCTTGCACTTAACGCTCTATAATGCTGAATGAATTTAGCAAATTCTCGAACTTTTGTACGCCTTAACAAAGCTTTTTTCACCTGTTAAGTGCAATCCTGACACATTTCGGACACGGCAATGACTGTTTTCTTCGTCTAGCCGCACATTTGACATGAGACAAAGAACCACATTCTGCACAACGATCAACTTTATTAAATTGGAAGGGAAACAGTAAGTCGTCACGCTCGTCACACAGTTCACATACAAACGCTTTTGCCTGACATACCTTAAACCAACGATTTGAAGCAACCCGTTAATAATCCGAAGTGGAAAAGACAATTATATTAATCAAAGAAAAAACTTTAATTACGTTACAAGTTCTGTTAATTTGCAGCCTTATCTCAATAGTTCCGAAAACTAAAAACGCCCCTCAAAAAAAAACTTTGTATGAAGGCAAGTTATAAAAAAGTAACCTCGCAACTGTTCACATGGCATTTGCCATAACGAATAAGAGGTTCAATTAAACGAGCAAAGCTACCATTCCTGATATCCTCAAAATCAACCATTGAAAACAAATCCGGTCCATCTAGTAAATGTTTTGGCACAGAAGAATACATCGCTTGTAAACTACAAGAAGGAATAATCAACCAAAAAAAAACAGTTTTTTTTACTTGGTTATTCTAAACCATTCTGCCATATTTGAAAAAATTTCAAACTGGTAAAAAAAATGACTAAATGATAAAATGAAAACTTACTTTCCCTGCACTGTGACAGTATTTTTTGCTATATTACAGAGGCGAATAAATGACCAAAGGTGGACAAGTTGAAGACGCAAAACTCTTATATGTCGCAGATTTTTGAATTTCTCATAGAAATTTGGTTCTACTGCTAATGCATTTATTACTGGCTGTGAGTAATTATCCAGTAGGAAACGTCGTGCAATATCAGAAACTGGATACTCCCTAAAAAAACTTTAATTAAAATCAGAGACCAGTTCAGAAAAAATTCAAGAATCTTCTTTTGCTTTCCAAAGAATTGCTAGAAAAAAACCCATTAACATTTCCACAGAGAAACTTCCTTAGTTTAAGAAAATCCAATGCTATCTAAAAATACGAGATCGGTTACCGAAAATTCCATTGGTGTAAAATTCTAGCTGGAATGCGCATTTTAACACCTTGGTGACACCGTTGACAGAACAGTTTATTGTAATAATTACAGAGTTGCATCCGTCGAGCGTATATTTTATTTATCTTCATACCACAACCAGCACACATGTTATTTTGAAGCTCCAGCCGTTGTTTCAAACTAGATAATCAACTGTTGTGTTGTGCTAACAACAATACTTACCGATCCAAGTAGTACAAGAAAAAAAGAATTTTGGATCAAAATCTGGCATTGGTAGCGAACAAAACTGGCATACCTGATAAAACCTACCTTAAAAAAGTATGATCCAGAGAAAAAATCCACTGCTTACGCGGTGAAGCCCAGTCATTAGTACCCCTTAGACAGATAGGCCGACCGTTCTTATCGAGTTCTTCAGAAGATGATACTTCTTTTAGCAAACGCATGAACTGAGTGAAACAATATTGTAATAACAGTATTAATATTCGTTAGATCGTAAAAAAAAGTTGCTGCAAAATTAATTTCATAATTCTACAACTTATATATCTGATTATAAAAAGACTTGAGGAAACTCACTGACTGTGGTGTCCTTACATATGCGCCAAGCCAATCGGTGTCCTTATAATTTTTTAAAAAATTAGAATCCGAAAGCAGATTAAGCAAATCTGCCGCTGTTGCCTCAGCAGAATATTCCAGCAATTCACATCGAATAACTCCATTATTACTGTTGCTCCTGTAGAACAAAATTTCATAAACGAATAGAAGATAGCAGTTAATCTTACTTAAAAGCCACCAATCAGTGCGATATAAAATGTAACAGAAAGTTACTCAGAGGTTGACGGTTCCTCATTAATATGGTTACTTTCAACCACTGAAGTATAAAAAGTTGAAGACCCGGCAGAAAACTCCCCGTTTTCATGTAACAGAAGAGATTTCGGAACCTGTGGCTTCACCATCCCAAAAAATAAGTTCTCCTCCAGTTCCTTCGATGAAAAATCCTGAACAGACTGGTTTTAAAACCATAAGCTCAAAAACAAAGCCAAATAATCAAAAACTAACCCCGAGCGATTCCCCATTTTTCTCCAACACTTCCAGTTCCTTCTCCCAAGCCGCCTTTTCTATGGCACATATTAGCATCTCGCTAAGATAAAAATGTAAATTTTCCTGAAACATTTAAAAACGAGTTTTCTCACTGAAAATCCAATTTAAGAGACTGAACTGGAAAAAAGAGAGAGTTACTTAATGCTACTTCTAAGATGTTTTGTAAAGCGATACTGCTGCTAAAAGCATCAGCCTTTTTAGAAAAATCAAATAATTATTGATAAAACAAACACGTTCAGTTTCTCGAGAAATCTGCCGATCACGAGCAAGTGCATCAGCAAATCTACTTCTTATCTCCTTCCATTCATCAGTCGCAAATGAATCTTCTCTCAAATCGCTTATGCTTCCCTTCACCGAACTTGTCCCCTAAAAGCGTCTTTACGTCACTCTAAAAATTTAACCAGGCTACGGAACACTCAAGTCAGATTAAAAGTGAAAACAAAAAAGACAACGCCTACTTTGGCAGTTGTTCCAAACGTGCATGCAGAATCAGAAAAATTTCGCCGTAGCATCACGGTTAGATTAAAAAAACATTTACTTCTGGGTCGACAACTTAGTAATAGCCAAAACTTTTATCAACGGCACAAAAAACCGTAACGGACCATTTAAGAGCCCATAGTTTAATTTATTCCACCAGTACAGCTGCAATAAACGAAACTTGCAAATCGAAAAAAGAATATAATTATGTCTATTCAGCTACTTTAAATCGAGATCACAATACAAGCCCTCAGAATCCCACTGGCCTTTAAGTGGCCCTCTGGTGCTTCCCATAATACGGATACTGAAGCTTTAGTCGCTCAGTTGGTAAAGTTAAACTTCAGCGCGTTTCAGCTGCACCTTATCCGTACAAAAGATTAAGTTCATTTGGCAGTCATTTAAAAACCAGTCAGGACCCACTGATCACATAACGCTTTCTGCCGTTACCTGCGGCAACAGATTCACAGCAAATGTTCTTGTAAATCGCGAATCTTCCTTCCTCGAGATTTTTATACGTAGCTTGGTTTTTCATCTAATCGTCTCTATCACCACTTAAAAACAGCTATAATTCTGCTAAGATAAGCTCTGCAGTAAAAGTGCTCCTCAGAGACTAGTCAGAGTAGGCTTAACAAGAGCACTAGTTTCCTGATAAAGTCAAATAAACAAAAAACGATTTTTCACCATCTTTGCATTTTCAGCCGAGAATCAGTTTACAGCGATTTGCAGATTTTTTATGAGTAACAGTCTTAAAAGTCCCATGAGGTATAATCGAAACATGGAAGTATTAAATATAATAAAACACGCGCTGCTATATACACACATAAATACATAATTGGAAACAGTTTTAAACAATATGTACAAGCGGATTCATTTCTTATTTGGTTTGAAAATTTTTACTAGCGAAAATTTCTTCCCAGAGCCTCTTACTCAATGCCACTCCGTTATTAAGAGGCACCTGGAGGTTACTCGACGATCCTTCACAAAGGTATGCTAGATTTCTGTGCTATATGTCCAAATAATGTATTATTAATAACATTCACTTATTATTATTTTACCTCTTTGTTTTCCGAATTTTTTGTTTTTTGGACCTTTTCACATTGAGATTTTAGCGGGAAGGTGACAGGATTTTAATTACAAAACATCTTTTAACATTTTTATTGTTATAACTTTGCTCATTTCCAAGAAATATTTTTTTATCATAATGTACTTAAAGAGGAGTTAAAAATGCATAAAAACCATAAGGTGCGCCGACAGCTGGATGGAAAAGTCACAAATTTAAATGAGGTACTTAAGAAACGTAACTCTCTCTCGGATATGAGAACAATGAAAAACAATGGTGAAAAAATAGATAATTTCAAAAAGAAGTTAAATGAAAGAAAAGAATCAGCATTTATTATTTTTCATGATTTCAGCACAAAAATAGTCCACCTTTCTACATAAATTTCGGCAAAAACGTAGGCACACCTTACGAAATTAGGAGAGCCTGCGTCTAGTCTTTCTTTGCGTATTTCATAGGGGATACA